TCTGGTCGTTACAATCAAAAAATGAAACAGAGGACATAGAAGACAGGAAAATAACCCAAATCAAATTACTGAGATAAAAATGGCAATGTCTGCAATTTTGTTGTTGTTATTTGTTTATTTGTTTGTTGATTGAGTTGGTTAACAATAGATCAGACAGTTCAGGAAGAAAAAGGTTAATGAATTTGAAAGCATGATAGTAGAAGCCACCAAAAACAGTGGTGACAAACAGAGAAGAGGGAATCCATGCACATTAGAAGCGCATCCGTGATCTGTGGGGCACCAGAACACATGTCGCTGGAATTCTTGAAGGAAAGAAAGACGAGGAACAAGAAATACTTGGGAAAAAATTATCAAATTTTTCTGGGTTTGATGAAAATCACATCCAAAATACTCAATGAGTCCCAAGCACATGAAACATGAAGAAAACATATAAGCTAATTGCTAAAAAAAATAATAATAAAGATAAATCCTTAAAAGAAGCTATAGAAAAGAACAAATTTGTTTTTCTCTAAAAGCAAATGTTATATCCAGGAAAATGAAGGTAAGAGCAGATTTCTTCTCAGAAAAAAATGCAAGAAAACATGAAAGTCCTGACACAAAGCAACCTCAACTAGAATTCTATACCCTGTACCTGTTAGAGCTATCTATATACCTGTTAGAGCTGAAGGTCAAATACGCTCATTTTCAGATGAATGAAAGCTGAAATAATGAGGCAACGGCAGACTTGTGCTACAAGGAATGTTAAGGAAGTCATTCAACTAAAAAGAAAATGACGCACGGTTATCTAATTACTCAAAAGCGTTAAGAACGAGAAAAGGGTGGAAATATATATAAACATAAGAATGAAGAGCACTGATACTACATGGGTAAATATGCCTGAATTTTTACTGTTAATCGAATCTCTTTAAAATGCCACTGTTTGAATGATAGCAATATGGAGTTTATATAATATGCATAAAGTATGGCAATAGCATGAAGGTTTGTAAGGGGAAAATAGAAATATACACCTTCAAATATTTTGCACATGAAGGACCATGATATCAAATGAAGGTAGACGGTACTATTGATATGATAACAACATGGATGAATCTCAAAATAGTTATTCTGAGTGAAAGAAGTCTGGGGAAAAATGATCATTTCTGTATGATTCCATGAA